GACTTTTGAGCTTCTTTACTGCCTACTGTAGTCATACTTACTCCAAGTCAAACATAAGGGTCAGAAAAAGAGACATCATTAGCGGAAGCTACAGTTGATATACTGAATGACTACACATTCACACTCAGCCAGGAATACCTGCTTAGTAATTGTCTGAGCTTGATATAATTGACATGTCCGCACTCAAATGGGAATACCCGCTTAGTAATTGTCTGAGCTTGAATATAGCCATTCACTATAATTGACGCGTCCGGTGAGTGATGGCTTTCCTTTCGAACTTTCAACATGTAGTTTACCTTAACAAACCGGAACTGTCTAAGTACTGTAGAGTGTACATTTTCATATGCATATATAATATTGCCATTTTCGGGTGCCATTGCATCCAACACCTCATGCTGTGTTGCTGTGCGTTCAACATAGTTCTAGTTTCCTATTTATTTACAACACATTTAAGCACGAATAACCGCCAGCATGTTGCCCACCATGTCATGCTGTGTTCCAGTTACCGGTATGTGACTTCTCTTTACCTTATCTCTTTACTCATCTATCTACAACATATTCAAGCACGAATAACCGCCGGCATGTATGATATTGTCCATGGTGCTGAGCACTAGGCTTGTAGGACAGATGGTGGCTGATTTTGAAGCTTGCTTGCGGGCTTATCACTGTCGATGCATGTACGTGAACTCATCGGCCACGAGTCCCACTGTACACTCTGGCTCATTTATCTTAGTTATTTGATGGGCACATGTCAGTCAGCTTTATTTTTTGTTTAAAGGTTGTCAGCGTTTTCATGGTCATTAGATCCTCAGATATCTGCAGATGTATCATGGTGGACAGTTGAAACCAACATTGTCTTCCTCCGGATCATCATTGGATGCATTATAGGTGCCATGCTTGTTTTTTTTATTGAGTGTTATGCTGATAGCTCGTGTAGGAATATTTGCATTTCATGGAGTGATGTTTGCATTGTATTTTGTACTTGCACTCTTAGATATCATTCGCTCAAGGAGAAGTACCTCGCCAGTAGAAATATCAGGTGTTCGACAACAGTTCAGGTGAGTCTCGGAGTTTGCTCCTAGTAGTAATGGATACCTCAATTGCAAGCCTAGGTTCTCGCTTATCCCTCTGGCAATTTTCTACTCTTCCCTCACGAAGCTTTTCCTTCTGTTCTTGCTCATGATATGGCGCCCTTCAGCGTCTAAACCTGGAGGTTCTCCATACTATTGGGATCCTTCATACTACAGCAGCTCTCTTGTTACATGGGCCCTCGAGATATGGGATGAGGACAAAGTAGATTGTGAGTGGGTCGTTAGGAATGTTTTGGGTGGAATGGCGACTGGATTTGGAGTTTGTGGTTTGTTTTTGTCTATATTTTCTACAATTCGCATTTACTGAACGATTTCCTCACAGTCGTGCTCGACTGTCATCCTGTCTTTACTACAGTGGTGATCCTTGTTGGGTGGTTGGCGAAAACAGTTGTTGGGGGATTTCTCAAGAATTGGGTGGGTGGAGACAAACATAGTGGAGACAAATAGATGGTGTATAGTATCCTGTAGTCTCCCATAGTCCTTTGTTCCTCTTGTGTGGAATTGATTTAGAGTCAGACCACGGTGGTCTGGCAGGACCCCCTGCTCTTTCTTGCAGCTGTTTCCGTTCACAGCATCCTGATAACGGTATCTATGGCGCTTCGAAGACCATCTGAAATTCATTGGAAGTTTTTTTAATTAGTGTCAATGTTTATGGTGCTAAGATGATGGTTTTTTTTAGTATTACATGGCGCTCGGACGAATGGCTGAGGCTTGTCTGAAATTCGGTGGAAGAATTTTCATTGTTACGATACTTATGTTAGGTGACGTGTTTTCTTGCGTTATGACATCAATGGCACTCAGACAGTGGAGCATTTTTTTAGTTATGATATTGATGGCATTCGGATGGCGGGCCAATTTTTGATTATGATATCAATGGCACTCGCCCAGTTCATCTGCTCCATCGTGTGCTAAGTATTGATATATAAAGTGTCACATTTTACTACTTGTATGATAGCTACCTAGTTCAATTTCAAGTATGAGTGGTGATGAGAACCATCTCTCTGGCGATCCTTCACGCAAGTGCACTGGCTCAGCACTTTATATGGCTCCACGTAAAAAAGTGTAAGTGGTCTTTCAAACAGTGATGGATCCCCTGATTTGTCTTGATTCAGGAGTTCGTCGAATCCCCTTATTCTTCATGGACGACATTTTGGTCGAACAGTCTTTGCATTGTGCAACTATCCTGCCCTTCTAACAGCAGGTGTACTCCGACTCGAAGAATCGCCTGATTGTCCCATAGAGGACTATCCAGCGGAGTGAGTACAATTGTAACGCTCAGATGTTGCAAGCACTTAAAGTATTGTTAATCAGTGTTCGACGAGAACATATAGTATTCATGGTGCTAGTAGAGTCCTATCCTGGTCTATTAGATCGTCTGACAAATGGGGAGGAAGAAGATCTTATTCATGTAGGAGAATTGGTCAGCCATTCAGTAATGGAAGGTCGTTATACTCACTTCTACTGCAGCTGGGTAAAGGGGCCTCTGGCGCATGAGGCGACGATACTAAAACCCTCAAATCTACTGTCCTTGAATGGCTTGTTCCCAGAGGCCAAGTAGTCATACCCCCTCTCTCTCGAAATATAAAGTCTGACCGAGGATTTAATCATGAAGTAACTGGCACGTTGCTTTGCCCCACAGGCCTTGATTGGTTGGATGCAGAGTAAGTCCTTCCATCATAAAATAATGGAAATGCTCTAACATCACCCAGAACCAAGGCAAAGCTCAAGAGTGGTGAAACTGCAGTCAGTGGTGATCAATGGCCTGTGTTCTTATACACAGGCTATGCTTATGATCCCGAAGATCCATGGAGGGGTTTATTGAGAAGCGATATTCTCATTTTCATAAGTTCATTCTTCCTGACGATATCTTACTTATGGCAATGTCCCTTTCATAGGGTTTCAAACACATCTTTACATCCCCAAGCTCAGTAGATAAAGAGCCAAAGGCTACGTGCTCTGGCAATGCATACCTACATAGTATGAAGTCTGTAACCAAGGGATCCTTGGCCTATATTGCTACGCAAGTACGTAGCGAATTTGATACCGCATACCTCTCCTAATTTTTGTTTTTTTAAGGTTCTATTTTCGTTGAGTTTGTCGTCCGTATTTTCATGTACCAACACGGTGACTGACTCCGAAAACTTCTATCATAGCATTTTGGATCTGTTGGAAGATCCTGATGAAAGTGAGGAAGTAAATGACCTCATGGTATGGTGGACACGGTTCGTAATTATATCTCACAAAATTCATGCTCTAATCTAACACTTTGAACAGTCGCATTTTCCCTAATTCTTCGTCATTGTGGTGCACTATTAGTAAAAACAGTGCGCTCGCAAAAATTCGAGAGAGACGTGCCGCTCTTCAAGAGCGAGCTACTGCTGGCATAAATTAATTGGATGTTTCTCATAAATAGTATATGTACAGTCTGTATACCCTATTTATTTAATTGATGCATGCTGCACTGTATCTGTGAAGATGATATTATGTGAAATTGTAAGATATGTGACCAAAATATCAGCACCATATCTAAAGCCAGACATGCTTGATCAAAAACTGCCATTTTGATGTGGCTTGATAACTCATTGTGAGACCTGAGCTTCTAGTCAGCAATTATATGTCTCACCATCAGAGACTGTCTCTATAACCACAGACATGCTTGATGGTAAAATAGCAGCTTGATATGGAAATGTAACTCAATATCATGCCTGGACATACTGTTATCAATGGTGGCTTCTCCCATCAGAAGCTGCCTATCTAAAGCCAGATATGCTTGATGAAAAAATAGCAGCTTGATAGGGTAATATAACACAATATCTACATACATGCAGGCTGCCTTCATCAACTCAATCAAAGATGGTAGGGAGAAAAGGAAGGCTATGGATGAGGCATCAGAGGCAATGGGTTAGTCGCCAGCCAAAAAAGGGTCCTTCTCTGCTGGAGTTGGAGACGAGCTTGAGTACATGGAAGAATAGACTCCATGACTTGGTGTTCTGCGCTCAACACTTGTATAACCAATCCATAAATTGTACCTTTTCTTGATATTCTTGCTCGAAATTTGTACTCTAATATTCGTGAGAATATATGTCTTCTACATGATACTGTCCATTCGGAGTCGGGGATTGGCGCACAGGCGCCGTTACTATGGATAACCAATATCGGTACATCATAGTGCTCGGCGAAACTAATGGGTCAACTTCCCAAAAAGAGGTGCCTTCCCGGCCCGGGGGGACACCTTTCTTTGGCAGCTTCGACATGGCAAGGGTTCTCACGCAAACGGTCAACCGTTTTTTCAAAGACCGACAGACCGTTTGGACCGTTTGAAAAGCACGTGAGGTCAAAGGTCACGTGACGCCGGGATTTGCCGCACTTACAGAACATGGCGCGGGGGGCGACATCTAACACGCTCGAAGCTCTCAAAGCAGCGTGCGTTGCCCCCATGTCTGTTCCCATTCCGAACAGGAATCATTGATCTTGTTCTCTACGATCTTGTCTTCGGCAGAATAATATCATTGATCCTGTTCTCCTACGATCTTGTCTTTCGGCGGAGTTCTCCCTACCTATCTTTGTCTTCCGGCAATGTCTTAAGTTGTTGAGTGGGCCTGCTGAGCAGGCCCACTCACAAACGAACACGGTGAGTCGACGACGAACAAACGGACCATAATGCCATTGACGGAACGGACAGAAACGAACGGACAAACAGAACGAACGCCGGATCAGAACGAACGGATGAAATGGACGAACGGATCCAACGAATGGGAAGCGGGGGAAGCGGGGGAAGCGGGTAATTAAACGGGGGGGATATTTGGAATTCGTTAGTGCGAGAATGGGAGCTGGGAGGGGGAGCCAATCAGAACAGGGTAACCGGTGCGCGACTCAAAGAATCTGTGCGCGACTCACCGAAAAAAAACGTTACTGCTGCAGGTAGTTAATCCTCAGCCACTCCTCACCATTGCGAGAGACAATCCGGTCGCGGGGAGTGGTTGGGTCAGTGACGAAACCCTTGAACAGTCGAAAAAGCACCATGTTATCCGACTCGTGAACCTCAGTGCGTGAAATCAGCAGCTTCGAAAATGCTTCGGTCTCGAGCAGGTCCGTCTCTCCTGGTCCCTGCATGAAGACGTGCTCGTAGACGCGCTGGACCGTCGACAGGAACACGTGAGGGTGGAATGTTCGGCCCTCAGAGAAGATTCCTCGTGGCTGAGGCCAGGGAGGCAGTTCCTCGCCGGCAGCCTTGGAGGACTGCTTGACACCATCTGCGCAATACCCCTTCTTGTGGTTGAGGGGCGAGTTCTCGGGTCCTGGATACATAATTGTTTGACAGCGGGAGCATGTCTGTGCCTTTCGAGCCTTGAAAATAAAATGATGGTTGATGTGTCAGCGCAAACGATGTGCAAACGACCAGATGCAAGTGACTGACCTTTCTGCCTGGCTCTTCCTTCACAAGTGGGACAACGGAACAATGACGGCGCCAAAATGACTCACTGTTTTTGCGTGCTGTTTACCCAATGTTAAAGTAGTTTGGGGTGTTTGCAAACGGACTCACAGGTATAGTCATTCTTGGTGATTTTGCTCATCAGCTTCGGCTCGATGTCACCCAGCGCACGTAGGAGGGCTTGTGGGTTCTTCTGGACGACTGACTGGCCCTTTTTCTTGATGAGACGGCGGTTGTACTCTTCTGTCGCCAGCACCCAGCGCTTCGAAGTCATTTGATATGACAGCCATTTGAACTCAGCCCGCATTTCCATAAATAGATAGAACTCGTCCGAATTTTGGAAGGTGAGCGAGCGAGGATCAATACCCGTGGAAATGGAGAACAGGCACTGAGACCGGGTCTGGCCTGCCGCGATAGCCATCGAGTTATTGATGCCAGTGCTGCCAAGCACTGGGCAATCCTGTGAAGAATTCGGGAGGGAGTTTTCGCGTGTAACGCTGGTCGGGTGTGATGGGACATACCTCTGTGGTAGCCCCAGGAATCACCTGGCAATCCTGTGAAAGAATTCGGGAGGGAGTTTTCGCGTGTAACGCTGGTCAGGTGTGATTGCACATACCTCTTGGTCGGGTGTGATAGCAGTGCTGGCAACCACTGGGCGATCCTGTGAGAATTCGGGAGGGAGTTTTCGCGTGTAACGCTGGTCGGGTGTTGATTGCACATACCTCTGCAGTAGCCCCAGGAATCACTGGGTGATCGCTGGTGACTCCAGTGCTGGGGGTGATTGCATTGCTAATCCCAGCGCTGGGGGTAATTGTGTTGCTAATCCCAGCGCTGGAGCAATCCTGTGAGGATTAGGGAGGAAGTTTTCGCATGTAACGCTGGTCGGGTGTGATGGGACATACCTCTGTGGTAGCCCCAGGAATCACCTGGCAATCCTGTGAGAATTCAGGAGGGAGTTTTCGTGTGTAACGCTGGTCGGGTGTGATAGCACATACCTCTTGGTCGGGTGTGATAGCAGTGCTGGCAACCACTGGGCGATCCTGCGAGAATTCGGGAGGGAGCTTTCATGTGCTGCACCGTTGATGGTCTTGCACAGAAGGAAAGTACGCATCGAGTCGTCCAGTACCTGGGGCCATGCTAGGAACTTCTGTGCTGGGCAATGCTAAGGTTCGTAGTTTTTTGATGGTGCCGCCGCTGGCATCCCCTTCATCGTCCGAGTCCAACGAGATGCAGACAGCCTTTCTCTTTGGTGCTGAAGGTTTCTGCACAAAAAAAAATGAGATATGGGGGGGTTGAATGGAGGTGTTGTTACTTACCATTGGTCTTGAAGTTTCAGCTGGGAGCGTAAGAAGGGCGGGGTCGATTTGCCACTCGTTGATGATGACATTCCGACTGGCAAGAAACGCAAGGTCGACTTCCTCACCTGTGGTGGAGTCAACAGACGAATCAAAGGAGTCAAGTAGGCCCTTCTCAATGTTCTCCTCCTTGATCAAAAGACCACCGAATGTTGCTACATGATCTGACATAACTAACCCAAAAGTCTCGCCTGAGTCGATGTCACCAAGCTCAGGAAGAAGCTGCAGCTGAGAGTCAGTAGTTTTTTGCTGGAGCGTGTTGTGAAGCCTCGCTATGTAGTCACAGAGTCGGAGGTGATGTGAACCGTTGGCGAACTTGAGGAATGGCGTGAGTTCGGGCCTGCTGAAAGCCACTCGCACGTTGCGACGGAGGACAAAATCATGGCCGAGGGCAGCGAGCATCGTCACACCGCTTGGCTGTGCTCGCTGAAGGGAATTCCACCCTTTGTGGGATCCCTCAATGCGACTCCCATCAGCTCTGATGCCTTGGACGCTGCGCTCGAGGCACCCTCTGCGGACATGTTTCAACTGTTCTTGGTGAACCTGAGCCATTATTGTCAGTAGCGATCGATTACAGTGGTACTTAGCGAAAAATGAAACTTACTTTCTGCGCTGCAGCTGACCAAACACCTTTGTCTGCCCATTTGCTGAATGCCACCATAAGCCTCCGTTCCTGCTCTGCTCGGTCCCAGTATCGCGCAGGCTGACCTTTCTCGGCATGCGTCTTGAGAATGGCGCCTGTGATGTCAGCAGCGACAGCGCCTCGATAAGGACTTTTGCTCGATTGGAGCATGACAGCGATGTATCTTCAAGTGCACATTGAGTAAGTAGACACTAAGTAGAAGTAGATGCATGGCATTCACCTCGCACTAAAGTGCCAAACATCGAGCTTTGAATCTGTCTCCGGCATTGCAGAGGTCACTGCATTTCGAACTTGGCAGCAATTATCAGCGACCATCATCTTTGGCTGGGGGACGTTTAGAATGTCGTGGCGGTGCTTAAGACCTTGAAGGAGTTCAGTTATCTCTGCGTTCGTGCGCGTCTGGCAAAAGCGCTACATATGGAACAAATATGTCAGTGAAAAGCTTAGGTGAGTCATTGTCGAAACTCACCCATGAAATGATCTGATTGTCCTCATTCAAAACACTCAATATCCCGCCTTTCAGCTCCCTAGACTTCTGGCGGTCCTTGTCGGTAAGTGTGGCCTTACTTGCTGCTTTGAACGTGTTGTCGAGTGAGCCGCATATGGCTGCCAGGTTAGAGAATTAGGTTCGTTGGTCACACGAGTCTTTCTGTAAACTAACCTGATAAAGTCTTCAGGTATTCTCCACTCTCCTTTTGCCTTGTGCGTGCGCAGAAGTCTAGGAAGACTTCTGTGATAATCTCACCCGAAATCGATTTGTCAGCATATGCAAGCGGGTCGCTGGCGCTCAAGAATGCCTGGAGTGTCTTCACAGCGCTCTTACTACCAGAGAAATAGTCGGTAAGTCTGCTATTTGCATTGCAGGTGGGCTGTATCTGAAACACTTCAAGGTATTCAAGCATTCGCCGCTTGTGTTCCAACAGGTGGAGCTCTTTGCAGCACACTGAATACGGTAAGAGTGTCTTTCTAAAAAGAAAGACTGCATGCACTCACGTCTGACTCTTTCTTCCAGCCCTGCAGAGGTTGTTGACGGGCGCATCTCCACCAGCAAGTCGAAGAGATCACGCGTTAGGGCACAGCGATAGAAAAAGATTGGGATGTTGCCTGTTCGTTTGGTGAGTGGATGCTCCTGACATCTAATGCACGAAACTCACGAGGAATCTGCCAGTGCTCCCATGAACTCCAGTATGCAGCACTCGTCGTTGCAAAACAGTAGCCCTCCAAGTTGGCTGGTTGATGCGCTTGGACATCTTCGGCATCTCCAGGTATGTTCTTGTCGGTTGCCTTCTTCATCTTTGTTGATTCCTTGCATGTATTGCATCGGAGTTGGGCGCCGAGTGCTGTCTCTTCGCAGATAAGACCATGGAGTTCGCGCGGCCCCGTGCTTGTCCACCCTTCCCAGGTGGTCTCCTTGTCAGAGCCACATCGAGGACAGGTGGCAAGCTGTGGGTAGTAGAACGGGTGAATGACATTGAAGGGTTTGATGTACTGTGTTACTGGCTCTATGTCTTGATGTCCGAGTCCCGAGCGCTTTTGAATATGTATGTAAGACGGGGGCACGAATCGAGGCCCGAGCAATGGGATATTGAGGCCTAACTTATGTGTAGGCTCGATTTTCTTTGATCGAGGTCGACTCTTTTCCCATAGGCACTGCACGTATTCGACGACCTCGGCCTCCCACCTCAACTGAAACTCTGGACGTGGGTGGGTCTTATGGTTACGGGACTCTTTCCATATGCTGACTCGTTTCTCGACCTGTGTTTAATCCGTCATTCGACGAGTCAATGACAACGTCTCTGACGGCCAAAAGAAAAACTTACGTTTACAGTCCAGCTTTTCTCAAAGGCACTTTTATCGATAGGCGAGACGGCTGCCAAGTTTTTGAGGAGGTTGAGGACTACTTTAGGCTCGAATATTGACATGTCCTGCGAAGGTGTAGTACTGGTGGAGGTGGAGCCACAGACGTGTTTTAGGGGGTTCTGAGTCCTCTTTGACCTTTGACAACTACCACACTATAATGTCTTGACGTGATCCCCGCTATACATATATTTTCTGCACGCGAGCTACTGCCGTTGAAAGAATATTGTCTGAACTTCTGATTGGTGGGTTGAAATTCCGAATTCACCACATCGTTATTGGAGTGCACACCGATCGCGTAAAATTCAGGGAAATACTAATTACTAGTTACACAGTAGTTCAATACTCAATGGCCCCGCACATCCATATTCCCTCCTGCAAGTCTACTGCAGGGAGAGCTAACACACATACTAGCACACATACAAATGCAGAGAAAGCGCTTGATGTGTTCACCGGCAGCTACGACACTGTCAGAGTTCGGCCGGACATCCAGATTCATCCCACAGACATTGCGCGCTTCGTGCAAGTCGGATTCGACGACCAGATCAACTCCTTTGCGACCCGCTCGGGCTTTCAGCCCACCGTTATTCAAGACATCTACAAAAATGTGAGTAGCTACAAAGACACACAGAAGGTGGTGAGGACCATGCGCATTGCTGCCATGGAGTCAGCTAGAGTCGAGATCCAACAATTGAGGGATCAGAGGCTGCGAGAAGATTCAGATTCGGAGGACTTGTACGAGAGGCCAGAGAAGGCCAAGGGCAAGACGGAACCCAAAGAGGAAGAAGATTCAGACTCGGAGGACTTGTACGAGAGGCCAAAGAAGACTAAGGCCGAGACGGAACCTAAAGAGGAAGAGAACGATTGAATTGGCGAGTAGCGAGTAAGCGGTGTTTGTAAAGCTATCATTTAACTATTCAATGTCAGTATGTACCGCAAATACAAAAGATAAAACCGAGTTCAGAATTTCTCACCTTGGGGATATGGCCTTTAGAATGATAGGACTCGGGCCGATGGCTGCTCTTCGTCGAAACGTTGTGGACATTTTGTAAAGCTATCCATGTAACTAACTATTCAATGTCACCAGTCAGTATGTTACCGTAAATACAAAAAATAAACCGAGTTCAGAGTTTCTCACCTTGGAGATATGGCCTTTAGAACGGGCCAATGGCTGCTCTCCGTCGAAACGTTGAGTCTGACTCCCTGAGTTAACCGAGGACGATCATTCTCATAGGACGCAGGACGCCAGACGCCAGACTCCCTGGGATCGTTTTCCGGCTTCGGAAGTCGGACCCCCTGCGAACCCTTGGAATCTTTTCGGCTCGCCTGCGGCGAGCTCCACCCTTGCCATGACCAATTTTTCGGACTCCCGGGTCCAGGAACTCTATCCGAAGGCATTTTTGAGTCTGGACAGACAGACCTTACAGGGAGCTAGATCGAGTTTGATCATATAAATATCCAATTTTTGTGCCAACAAGGATGTGGTGTATAGTCTAATTACATGTTGTCTAATCGCTGCTTGAGAGCGTCTGCAATTCCATTCAAATATTTCAGTCGCACTGCTGCGACTTTGGTTTCCTGCCAGTTCTTTTGAGCTACAAATTTTGTGACTGCGCTCACAACTTCACTAATTTTGTCTGTGACCACAAGTGTCAGTACCTGCCAAACGTTCACAAATGACAAAACTCACTATCATTGTCCTCTTCTAAGGTGCGAATTCGCTCGATGTCCCCAGCTTCAATCTCCTCTCGAACTTCCATGATTTCGCTAATGAGTTCTATATCCTCTAATGGATCTGCTTCTTCAGTCATGAGGCCATTCCGCTGCAAAATATATTCTATACGATGCAAGGGTGACGACAGTGCTTTGTACGCAGCGTTCACCGTATTCGACACGTGAAGTGCAATATCTCGTTGGAACTGCTGAATAAATTTTTGCTAGTACTGTACGTAGAATCACTCACATCACTCTTAGTTGCCCATGCGTCTGGGTGCGAAACTCTCTGTGCTTCGATGAAACGGCGTTTAAGGAGTGCAGCATCCACCACGAACGGGTTAGGCTCATAAGGAAGACCCAGTATATCGTGGTATGATATTGAGTCGTGGATCCTTGCAATATAATTGCAGTTTGGACAGGCAGGCAACGCAGTTGGAAGAATAGTCCCACATGATGGACACGTCCTGGTTAATGAAGTGACCACGGAATGCCGTGAGGAAGATGAATCAGCTTTGTCGGTGAATGCTCTTGCATAATATCCGTTCGACAACGCCAACGGTCGATGAGTTGCTTGAGCAGCAGCGACCGCACGGACAAGGAAAAGACGGAACATTCGGATGAGGGTTACTTGTTTACTAAGCTAAGAGATGAATAGCATGGAGCATGGAAATTTCCTTTTGGAACAATTTCGTCATTGTTTATATATATAGGACTTATAAGTACTACTAGAACACCAGCACCACGTGCAGCGTGAAGGATATCACACTGAGTACTTGCTAGTAGGCGAGCCTTCGGACAACTTGATCATCACTCGTCCTCACAATGTCGAGCAGTACTAGCGCTACCGCTGAGCTCCAAATCCAGGACTTGTGCTCGCCGGCCGGGCCTCAGTGGCCTGCTCCTCCTCAGGCAATATTAACGCTCGATGATCCTTCAGCCGCAGAACCAGCACGTCGTCGGTTGGCTCCAAAGACTCGTTTAAGTATATTTTCTTTCCTTCCAAACCTTTTCTCCTGTTGCCGCTCTAGGCATCACAAACCACAACCAGCGGATTCAGAAGCTGAGGCAGACAGCTCAAACAAGTCCATAGAACAACTACCGGCCCTCGAACAAACCAACGATAATACTACCATAATCACTTTGGACATCTCAGGTATCTCAGATATCCCTGGCATTAATAAGGACGATTATCGTTGGGCTGTTGTATATGAAAATCAAAGAGGGTATGTATATCATTCACCTCCTTATGTGTGGCAGACTGTAACTATCATCCCAAGCCTCACCGTACTCTCGTCCCCGTATTATTCACCCCTATCACTGCTTCCTATCGATCCTCCACAATTCACTACCCCGTCCGATTCTTTGAAACAATCCCGACAACCCAATATCTCTCTTTCCAATTATCCCCTGCCCGATGGCACTTGGCGCTGGGTTTCCAGAACATGGATGATTGACATGCGCACAGACTCAGGAGAAGTTCAATACGACGGTTTTGAGTACAACTGGTTTTTCCGGGAGAAACACTGGCACGCAGAGATTGGCAAACTAAGCACTGGTGCCTGGGTACGGAGAAGACGATGGGTAAGATTGATGATGCGTCCGGCACAGCATGCAATAGCGCACTCGGAGGGAAGTCTAAGTCCTTCCACTAGCAAGAGCAGGCTGTCTGACCAGCCTTTGGATACAAGCTTTGTTTCTCTCGCTTACCCTCAATCAGAGATCACGCTTGACAAGCTCGCTCGCTCGGTCAACCTGGAATGGGAAGGAAGTGAACAAGACTGGGTGCGCTGTCATCGACTGATGCGAAGGCTCGGTCGGGATGGTCGCAAACTTGAACTCTGGCGCATGTGGCTTTCGCCATACCTCTCTGATGTTTCCGATAACCATCCGGGGGACAAAGGGAAGCTTCCTGAATCTAAATTTTCTCTACCGATGAGGTTGGAAAATGATGGCTCGGACATCCAAACTCCACCTCTAGAATACTTGGGAGCACTTCTCCAGAGCCACGTATGCATTTCCATTGACAAGTGTATCATCGTTTGATATCACTTTTATAGGGAGATGCAGTACTCCGGTTGTTTGTCTTCCCAGATTCAAGAGCCCAGTTCATCGATCTTGTCAAACGTGCCGGTCTGGCTCATGAATTAGTGCGAAGTCTTGGAGACGGGTTCTCTTCCACCGAGGTTGACTTCTGGAGCTACTCGAAGGGCTTAGGCAAAGTATTCGATAAGGATGATTAAACAGAATCGAGTTGGGTCGGGGCCAAGGACTAGAAGGAAGAGCTCTCTGATGAGGATGTCGTGGTAAATTATATTGAGGTTGTTACAGAGTTACCCGCGAGAGTGGCGTGACTTCCACGGAGATCACCATACAGATCATATCGTTATGCTAATCGTAATATATGTAAATACTGTACAGCAGTGAAGTTGCATGTGAGTGCAACACCCGTCGTTTTCAAACCCGAGTCCTTCTACAGCGCTTTCATGTCAGCGCCGTCTCCTCGGGTCATTGAGCCTACTGAACCAGATTCGGATCATAGTAAGACACCATGGAGAAATATCAATCCGAAGAATCTCTGGTCAGATGACCCAAGTCATCCGGTGAAGGTCGCCCTTCGTACATATTCTCTCAGCCTATCTCTCTCTCTTGGTCCTGCACTACTTCCAGTTGCTCTTACCCTCGTCAATCGTTCATCCAGTCTGGAAACTCGTTTGGGTTCATTCAGGCGCGTGTTGAGGCGCGAAGTGGGCCTTACAGGATTTCCGTTCGCCATCACAGTAGCCATTTGTGGTGGAATTGCATTGAGGCACCTCTTGGAAGCGATACGTGTCCACAATGTCGATAAACAAGACGATCCAGAAGTTCGACAACAGCCAGTGATGGCTTCCACATTCCAACGACGCGCAACAGCCCTATCGCTTGCAGCTCAGGCATGCTCAGGCATGTCCAACTCAACGCCCTCTCAGAAAGCGTTCCTGTCAAATATCTTGTCCTCGACAATCGCGCTGTTCTTGCTCCAAAGGACTCGACTATCCAAAGCAGGGTCGCGTCAACCATTCTCAACCGTTGGATTAACGCTCCTCTTTTTCTGTCGTGCAACCGACGCAATCATGCAG